AACAGGTGTGAATTTGACATTCAACACCAATTACCAAACAATTCAGAAACTTTTAGCCTTCGAAAATGAAAACAGTTAGCAGTGTGTAAGGGCTGTGTAATTTCCTGTTTGTCCGACGCTTCGTTTTCGTGTCACTGTCAAAATTATTGCTACCTTTTACTTAACAGGGACTAAATGGTCTCTATAAAACGAGCAGGATCGCAAAAAAGTCAACTCATTTGAAACACTTGCCGGATGTCTCTCTCTCTCTCTTCTGAAATCCGCCTTGGTGATCATGGGCTGGTCCGGAATCTATTTCTTTCAAAAGTGTTGCGCCAGGTTTACGTTGTCGGCGTTTCTCTTTAAACCTAGTCGTTTTTTTTATGGACGAGGACAGTTGAATCATGGAACGATATAGTTCCATGGTTGAATCATGGAGGTATGGTTGAATGAATCTAAGGTTAAGTGATGTCGCACCTTCGGGTCGATTAGAAACGTGTGAATAGATACACTATGGCTATACGTTTCACTGCAACTGCCCACAACACCACATCTAAAAACTCTCTCTCAAAAAAAAATAAAATAAAATAGACAAAAAAAAAGAGAAAAAACGCCGACCGAAAAATGTATATCGTTTAAAAGTATGTATACTGAATGATCAGTGTTATTACGGCTCAGGTGTATGACTTCCTCTCACATTTTGTCATTTGGTGGCGCACTTTCGGCGAGAGTCGGAAATCCGGAAACAGTCGACCGTTTCACGATAGGTGGGCGTGGCTACAACATGAGAAATATTCCAAATTTACTTGGATACGAGTAATCATTTTCAACAAAAAAATCAATAACTACCCTTTTCAGTGGGACACAGATCTAAAATGGGAAACGTGAGGGTGGGCATTGCACAGGCACTTTAAGGAAATCAGCAGCGAGTTCCCAAATTGTGGAGAAAACATGTTGAAACAGTTACTTATATGAAGAAATGTGAAAGTTCAACGTATGCGATTAAGAGACAGTATTCATAGAGTGGATGGAGTGGGGTGAAATCAAGGATGAGTGGAAGGTTGCAGAGAAGAGTTTACAACATGCAAGGTCCAAATCATTTATGGCATATCGATACAAACCATAAGCTGGTTCATGACACATTATGGTTTGCCGTGTCGTGTCCGTAGTGACAAAGAGTTGGAAAATGTTGCCATAGCCGAATATATGCTGATGAAGCGAGGTCTCAACAGGGGCAGCATCATCACTGGAAACAGTGTTCACAACCAGAGCATGGAGAGATTGTGGAGGGATGTTTATGAAGGGGTCCTCAGTTTGTATTATGATTTCTTTTACTTCATGGAGGACAAGAGTATTTTAGACCCTCTTGATGGAGGGGCATATTGCAATTCTACATTATGTATATCTTAGGAAGATTAACACGAAAATGGAGATGTGGAGAGATGCATGGTCTCGTCATCGCATGTCAACATGTCAGTCCTCGCCTATGCGACTTTTTGCTGCCGGACAATTCCAAAATCCCATTGGACTTGATTTAATTCTGATCTTGAATAACAACAAAAACACATATTTGATTCACCATCAAAGATATCTAGATGTCTTGGAAACTGAGATCCCACAAGATTGGACCTCCAACAATTACGGGATAGACATGTTCCTCAGGGCATTGCAATTAACAAATTAGAACTATGAATGCCAGTCATTAATCTCTATAATGACTCCTTCTAAAGATGATTGGGCAAGACAAAGACATTTTACTAGTGACAATAGTGTAAGAATATTTATTGTCAAATCTAGCATAACATTTGAACTGTAAGCGCAAGGAATAGTGAATTGGAACAATTAATGATCTGAATAATTATCAGCACCCTACTTTGATGGCAGCATACTTCCTCACTCCACCTTGCAAAAACAGCTTAGCAATGCAAAGCATTAAACAATCTTCCAAGCAACCAATCATAAATCTGCCAGCCACTCAGTTAAATCAATCAATCAAGCAAGCAGACTTTCAATCAACCTGTCAACCAACCAATTACCAAAGTAGATGATCTTGTCAATCATCCAATTTGAAAATCAATTCATCCAGCCAACTAGTCAACTGCCCATCTACCAGTCAGTCAAAGAATTAATCAACCAGTCAACCAACCAAGCAACCACAGATCGGTCAACCATACAGCAAACAGCCAATCAAACCAATCAATCAACCAGTCAGTCAACCAATCATTCAGCTAATCAACCTGTCAACCAACCAAACAAGCAGCAAATCAATCAACCACAGATCGGTCAACCATACAGCAAACAACCAACCAATCAACCTGTCAGTCAACCAACCAATCACCCAGTCAACCAATCATTCAACAAATCAACCAAACAAGTAGCAAATCAATCAACCACAGATCGGTCAACCATACAGCAAACAGACACTCAATCAACCTGTCAATCAACCAGTCAGTCAATCAATCAATCAATCAACCAGTCAGTCATCCACCCAACCAACCAACCAGTTAACATACCTCAGTTTTTAAACTTAGATTTTTAGAATCAAACATCATACATTGTATTGTGCTGACATTATAATTATCAATAAGCAAACAATGAACAAGATAACACTTTAATCAAAGAACTCCCATGTGCTGAGAGTATTGGAAACACATTTTTGTCTGCTATTCGAGATGCACAACATGAAAAACTGTGATTCACAATATCAAAATTTATAATACATACAGAAAATAAATTTGATTTTTCATCAATGGTTTTTAGTCTAATTTATTCCACAGCACCTGAGTACCTGTGCGTTGCATTCAATTTAAATCTGATTTTTTTTAGATATCAGAAATGGGCTAATAGATAATCAATATGCATGTTTATCAACATTGAAATAATTGTGTCTGTGGATTACCTCAATGAACCAAATGAATTATTATACAAATTAAGCAATTATTAGGCATAGATTTAGGTCTGTATATTGTTTCAGGGTGCACAAGTACAAAGTTTAATTATAATGTGATGATTAATCCTAACTAAATTAGTGGCAAACTGAAAAGTAAATTATTATGCAAATTAGGTAATTATTATAGATGTATGTGATCCCATAAGCGTTGAAGTAAGTGGTTGCCATAGGATCGAGGGTTGGGGTATATACATCGTATCACTAGGATCGATGATACTCCGCATCACCCCAAAAGCGTGGCTCACTGAGTCGTTACGGATAAAGACTCTGAGAAACTGCCCGAGGTACCGGCTGTATCAGACGTGAGCAAACTGTCTCCTTTCAACTTAAATAAGTGAGCGAGAGCATGTTTGACTGTGCATTCCATGACAGGTTCGGTTCCTTCTGGGGACGCCTGTGGGTCGGGCAAGAAGGGGAGTCAAAACCCACATCGGAGCCTGGACTCAAGGGTAAATTCCTCAGTCAGGTACCGCGTGACAAACCCTGGCTACCTGAAAGTAGGGGGGAGGCGCAACGTGTGCCCTGACCCGAAGGCCCTGCCCCGAAATCGGAGGCTTGGCTGCCAGCATCCCTATTGGCATTCAGTGCCCGAGGTCCCAGTCCAACTAGCCTGAGCCTCGGCCTCACCCAAATCAGCGGGAGAGTCGCGGCTGGGAATGGAGGGTTCCCTGGAAGAGACATGTTGTGAATGCGAGTGATGCTTTTGTGTTTCGTCCTGCTTGCCGACCGAGGGGGCGCAGTGGAGACAGCTTGCCCCGACTGTATCTGATCTACCTGGCCTGCCAGAGACGCAATTTGCCCCAACAGTCCTTCGACCAAAGCCCTCATCTCAGAGGCAAATCCGGCGCCGTGCGAGGACGGATCCAGAAAGTGACCCGCAACAGGCCCCATAGAAGTTAAGACCTCCAGGGGCACAGCCTCGCTGTAGCTGGTAAAATCGGATAAACCACCACCTGAAACAACAGACTGTGAGGATGCCCTCTAATCAGCGGGGGGAGACCGAAAAATATTGGTACCTCCACCGTCGGGCTCCTACTCGACGTCTCAGTTCACAAAGTACCGGTAGCCGACTGAGGACTTTCCACCCATGCCAACGCACAACTCACTTTAACTGATTTTTACTGGACGTGCGACCTTGCTGTGAAAATACGAGCGACGCCATCAGTCTCAGCAATTTTGCATGGCTCTGGAAAACATCCCAGGCCTCAGAACTCCAGTGAAAAAACACACACCTTCTAGGCAAAAACCTTGAACCCCGCATGCAGTCACGGCAAAAATAGCGACCACGCTAACAACCTAAGCCAGAAACCCGGACAGGAAAAAGCAGGCCTTCCAGGCAAAGCTGCTAAATTTCATCGCTATCGATGCAGAGATAAAAAAGAAGGAGCCAGAAGTGATTATCTGGCTATGATGGCGCTGCCACATGGCCTCGGGCACGTGGTACATGACGTAAGCAAAACAAATCTTGGGGGCATGGGGCTTCCCCTGACCTAAATTTTATCTCTCCGTCATTGGCAGAATCGCTGATTAATGCCTACAGTCATTTTGACTGAGCGGAGTCTATCGTGAGTAATTGAATGTAGTGAATAGAATTTAATCTATATAAGCCTTGTGCAAAGAAAGATACAGTCCCGGAATACAATATCCTCAGACAAAAATGATGCTGGTTTCCTCAGTGGTTAGACTGGCGCAAGCGCAATAAGTTATGCCAGTTGACGAATAGACGAAAAATAATCTAGAAGCCTTCATCAGACTTCGTCTGCGAAGGTTAATTAGGTAGGTCTACCATATATCAACATAAACCCAATGTAAATACATGTATTTCTTTTAATAATAATTTTAAAATTCTTGCACTTTATAGACAACCAAAGTATGTATACACTTGTCATGATTTTATTTTACTTACATACGTGTATATACATTGACCTTGCACATAAAAGGGAAACACACACGGATAGGTGGCACTACATCAAATTTAATGTCTCATAAAAAGTCCATGTCACAGAAATATACACAATGAATAGGGGCAGAGGAATTTGCCAATTTTGAAAAATACAATTTACAGTAAGACATGTAAATGTCTCCGTTTAATTGAAAAACAACATGAGTACTGATGAGTTTTTTACAAGTGGTGTGCAGTAGCACATATAATTAGTATGGTTGTTTTTTATTTAATTCAGATACATAAATAATTACTTTAAAAAACATGTCATTGAAGCTCAATTAAATAATAAATTCACCAAAAAGCATGTCTTGCCTAGTTATGTGTATAAGCCTGATATCTCATGGAAAATGATATTTTGTCATTTTATTTGAAGTATTAACCTGTTTAACGTGACAATCACAGCACATATCATGGTGCCCCTTAGAGACATAACATGTGGTAAATTTAAATAATGTTCACGTGATATATCATTGAGGAAGTCTTCCTTTGGTCACAGGTTATTCTAGCCTTAATAAATAAAAATGTCAGATGAACCACTTCAAGCAACTCTGAAACATCTATCAATGTGTAGAGGAAGCAAGGTGGGCAACTGTTCTAAACAAATCAAGAAATTAAATTTTGCACTATGTGGAACCTATAGAGGGTCAGAATATGTTGTCTGTACAATAATATTTAAAGTTTATGTGCCTACATGTATTATAAAATGCATAAAATATAAATACAACTATGATCACTTTTGAAAGCAATATAATTTGATTTGGTGGGCAAGCCATTTACATGTATATTAAGTCAATACAATATAAAATAAATAACTATATACTCTTGGATGAAAAATTGTGATCCTATAAACAGACTCCTACAAACTAATGAAGTTCATTTTGTGATACCAGAATTTTACACACCATTGATATAGATTTTTATGATATCTGCACAATATGCAATTTCTAAAAGTAGAACAATTTGCTTTCACTGCAGGTTCTGCTGTCAAGATAATATAGACATAATTTGCCAGCAGAATCGTACATTATAATTCACACACATGGCCTGCTAATGCAGTTTTTCCCATTCATTCTGACTATCCATGGATGCTTTCAACAGGTGACTCATAACATGCTTGTCTGTAACCAATGTCCATGAGAGTGTGTTTATCCTATAATACACTCTCGTTGATACAGAACAGATTATCTTCAACCACAGTACATTGCAAAGTATGAGATATGTACATAAGGTAACTGGCAAGAATTGTCTTAAAAACTAAATTTTGTTGTGGTATAGGTAAAGAATTCAAATTGAAATTAAAACAGTAGCATATATAAATGCAATACAATATTGTATATTACGTTCTTTATATTTCATTTTTGTTTGTTAGGAAAATAAGTACCCAACTAGTAATTAACTTTGATACAGAGTATATCAATGATTGTTATGGTGTCTGATTTAACAATTTTGTGCAAATACTGAACATGTCCTAGAGCTAAATTGTCTAAAATGATTTACTAGGATACACATGCAAATATTGCTTAATAATTTGTATTTGTGTTTTTTTAAATATTTCATGATTTCCCTGGTCAAGTCTTGGATTTGACATATGAAATGATCTGTAGGCTGGTTCCAAGTAGCTATGGGTTAACAATTATAAATATTTAATCAAATAAGGACCATATACATGTATGATGACTTGATGTTTTGGTCATATATCTTGTCAGACACAACTTGCATGTCCCTATCGGCAACATAACTTATATCATATTGACTTTAACCAAAATCTAATCAGGTTTTTGCATTATCCCAGGGCATCTATGTACCACGTTTCATCAAAATCTGTTGAATGGCAATTGTGAAACAAATGAAAATGCCTAAAATGTGCTAATCAATATGCAAATTAGGTTATTAATATGCATAGATTTTTAACAAAAAATTAATCAGGTCTGTGAATAGTGATGGAGCATCTATGTATCAAGTTGAAAACATCAGCAGATGAGTGTTTTGGGGTTGAAAACAAAGACTGTGATGGTGAATTCTGATAATAAAATTCAGAATACAATATCCAGCGAAAACTTGTAAATAACCTTGTCATGAATAACATCACAATATTTCAAGAGCACTGAGCACACCAGGCACATTGATTGAAACAGGCAAAAAATAGTACTTAATAATACCATAAATATCTGTCTTCATCCAAATTTTAATAACTGTAGTATACACAATGTACACATTTTATATTTATTTCACAAAAATATTGTATCTGAAACAGGATTGGTTCGCTTCAATTACTAAATACATTTTCACTAATATGAGAAAAAAAAGATGCAATTTAAGTTGCAAAGAGACCACACCTATGAAAAACCTGAAATTTATAAAACTGATAAAATCATCTTAATGAAGAGGTAAAAGTATCGCACATGCCGTTCCGAGTTGAAACATTTTTACCAAAATTAAATAAAATCAAACATTAAATCAACAATCATAATCTTTTAAATTACCTAGCATAACATTCTTCCTGAGCTGAATTTGTACTCCAAAATAGGTAAAATAAAGACTTATATTAGTAATAGCATTTGGTTTCAAAAGTTGCGTTCACGCACAGCTCTTTACTATGGGCTAAGAGGTCAAATTACTTAGCCTGTCCTAAGAAAATTTGCATGAATGCTAGCACGGGCTAAGGAGTGCTAAGTACATGTAAAATCTGATCTGATCTCAAGACGCGGCACAGACCCTTAGCACGGGCTAACGAAGTGAGCGTGAATGCTTAGTCCAGGGCTAAGCGCCATTTGGTGTAAATATTTTGCACGTGATCGAATATATGCAACTTTCTCATTTCCAAAATGGCAACAGAGCTCAGTGTGTACGAAACTTTGTTCCCTCGCAAAAACTGGAGCAACGAAAAGACAAAAGCCTTACTGAGTGTATGGAAAAACGGCGAGGATTTTTTGTACACTGTGGCTTAACAACTGATAACGCCCCTTAGCCAATGCCACAGTTTCTTCACCAGATTGTGCCCGTGCTAATGTCTGGCCCTCCCAGTTCGTGGACACAATTGGGTCTAGCCAAAATGAAAATACGTGTACCTAAATCAGCTTAAATCTTAGCCCGTACTTTGTGTAGCGTTTTTTCATGAGAAATCTTAACAAGTTACAAAATCCATGAAACTCTACTATACGAGTGCAAAAATGCAGCATTACTATTTTGAAGAGAATAAATGGAATGAACTAGATATAACCTAGTGAATTTTCCATCACTTTAGCCATGTTTTACAATACATTCATATATATATACCAGCAACAAACTCCCTGATAACAAAGATGATCACTATAAGAAATCACTGTTTAATAGTACTATTGTTTCAAAGTTTATCCACTGCAAACTGTTTGCCCCTGAAGTGGACACTGCTTCCAGACAGTCTTCAGATCTTTAATTTCTGTACACTTGAAGTCAACATTATCCTCAGTGGCTCACAAAAGGGGTAACATCGATACCTAATTAGTCAAATCAGTGATATACACTGTACTGACATGTGAACTAGGAAGTGTCAGCATTTTGGGACATACCAGAGTACATCTCTTCATCCATATTGAATATTTCCGATATAAGAGGGAACATACTTTCATGATTAGGTAGTTTGAACTCGTTTAGGTCATCAATGTGATTCTGGACCAGTTCTCTGACTTCTGCCAACTTGACAACTAACTTGGCAAAGAGTACTTTGTCATCCGGGTGATTCGTTTTACAGGATGCTTGCAAGGTGAGAAGTATTTTCTGCTGTATTAGCTCTACTGCATTTGGATGCTTCAGTTCTGGACGATCTACAAAGTGAAATATGTAAATATTAATATGTGAAAATAAAATTATATTAATCAGAGAAAACCAGACGGAAATGAGTCAGTCATTTTGAAACAAAACTTGAAATGAACATGATTATGAAATTTGACCTGATGCACAATGTAGCCGACTGCAAAATTTGGCATTTTGAATCTAATTATGTTTCTATTATGTCTAATGTACCAAGGTTGAACAATTTTGATGAATTTAAATGGTTGCCAATCATCATACGAATACATATGAATATATATATATATAATATATTGAACAGGATTGGTCAAGACATGCAAAATATGATCCTGGAAAAACATTCATTAAAACAAAAATGGCCACGCATTATTCATTTTCAATCCAATCTGAAAATATGTGTGTGACATAATGTATGATGTTTATTTAAAGTTTGAACATAATTGATACAACAGCAATATGGCTCTGAAAGAGCAGTCATTAAAACAAAAAATCCCTGTCTCCCAGTCATAATTTTTGAAACCAAGCTGAAACATAAAATGAAATGGATTAAGATCCCATTGAGCCAAATATATGTAAGAACATATAGAACACTTTTTTTTGAAACTCAAATTATTATCCAACTCAGGAGACCACCAGTGGTGGTCTTGCAGTTAGAAAGTGCTCAAGGTTCTTTGTGTAATAAGATGTTTGTATGAAAAGGATTTTCTCCACACAAAAATGCCAAATTCAACCAAATTTTGTGATTTAATGTTACCCAAACAGGTTTTTTGGCTGTAGAAGTTTGGTATTCTTTCCTGAGTTTGTAAGAATTTAAAACAAGCAGCCAGTTGGCTGAGATAGCTCCGATGTTAGAAATGCACATTTCAATTAAAGAACAGAAGACATCATTAGAAAATGAACAATATGTATAGTATCAAAGCAATGGGACTTGCTGTTTTCAACAAGAATTCAAAAATATCACTTTTCACCAAAAATGACAAAAACAATCATCAAAAATAGATAATTGAAGATAACACCACGAAATTAACAAATCTGAAAGAGGTCAACATGTTTACCTATATATGTAATATGAAAGCAATTGGACTTGTAGTTTTTAACAAGAAGTCAAAAATATCACTTTTTACCAAAAATGACAAAAATATTCACCAATATTAGAGAATTAAAGATATCATTACAAAATGAACAAATCCGAGAGAGGTCCACATATAGTACATATATATGTAATATCAAAGCAATTACACTTTTTACCAAAAATGACAAAAATATTCACCAAAATTAGAGAATTGAAGATATCACTACAAAATGAACAAACCTAAGAGAGGTCCACCCAAAGTACATATACACCAAGTATCAAAGCATTCATGCTTGTAGTTTTCAAGAAGAAGTCGAAAAAGTAAAACATTGACACGGACGACAGACAATCACTCATATGATAAGCTCTGCTCGACAAAGTCGACAGTAGAGCCAAAAAACTGTTTCTCAACATGTTTCTAATTAGATGTACATACTAAGATTTGTTTTGGATATACAGATAAAACAATATATTTGACTATGATTTAGAGTGGATTAAGCCATAGTAATCATTAGTACTTCATGAAAATACCTACCAGATGAAAGAATTGTTGCTGCCTCCAGCAGTGAAAATTCAGCCCGACTCAGATGAAAAGAATTTATACTTCGAGTGAAATTAAGTGTTTTTTGAGCAGAGTTAAAAAATCCAGAATAAAGCATGATATCCAAGTTCCATTCAATTCCAACAATGTCATCAACGACACAGTTTTTCTCAGGCAGAAAGGTTTCTCCCATACGAAACATCAAGACTTCCAATATTGCAGCTTTTATAAGCACAGCTTGGTCTTCATAGTCCAAATATCTAAATTCCGGTAATGTTTTTGCAAACTGCACTGTCTGTCGTATAACAACCCCAAGTACAGCCATATTAAACACAATGAGTTCACTTTTATCAAAGCATGGTAGCATAGGTGGCATGCCACCTCCAAAGTTTGGCAACGCTGCAGCCCCTTGAACTTGACTTTGTGAGTTTTCCCCAAACTGACATGGATATTCGTCCGTATCAAGTTTCTCTTGTTTGATCTCAACATTGCTTAAATTTGGTCCCTGGCTCTGTGGATTTGGAAATTGGAAATCAGGCATTGTGCTGCTGAATGTTTTCCAAACATCTGGCAATGGAGGAAGCTTTGTTTTCATACTATCAGGCACTAGGCAACTGTTCTCCGGCTGCTCTGATTTACAAAACATGTTCTTGTCCATTTCTTCTAAATTCATTAAAGGTGGTGGCCCATTTTTTGCAGCCATCTTGAAAAAATCTGAAATACCCTTCGCGACTTGCTGCAGCCTTTCAGATGTCTACAGAAAACAGAAAAATAAGTTTTATGAATCACTATATAAGTACACAAATTACTAATAAAATTTAATTTTATTTGCTTTGAACACTGGGTGGTGCTATACCCATTTAGGATTTCATTGATTTTTGAGCTGCCTGTATAGGTGTTCTTTTTGTACTTTCCATCACTTGTATATATAGAGTGGTCTAATTGTCCAAATGAACATACATAGGAATTTAAATTAAGCCCTTGAGCATATAAACAATTTTCCTTCTATGGTATCGGTAAAGGGCCAATAACTGAAAAATCTATTAGAACAAATATATACCTGTACATGCAGTGGTGTTATAGTACAAAAGGACATACATCAGTATTTAAACTGTAAAGCGTCTGTCATTCAAATCTGAGCATAAGTGCACAGATATATATACTGGAAGCCACTCAATTTGGGATGTTAGGAATTTTCAACATTTGATGATTGTTTAGCATTCGTGAAG